ACAAAAACTGTGCCTTGGTCTGTTGTAATTGTTTCTAGCAGACCAAATCTGTGAATAATGTCCTCTTTGATGAACTTAATCACATCAGATTGGTCTACCTTCTTCATTGGTTTAGCCTCCACCCATTTGGTAAAATAATCTGTTGCCACTATAATAAATGAATGACCTTTTGATGAAGGGGGATACACCTTACCAATCAAGTCAATAGCCCAGCCTCGAAATGGCCACGGTTTCACAATAGAGTTAAGTTTCGAGGCTGGAACTCTTTGAAGTGGCCCATGGATCTGACAAGATTTGCAGCCCTTAGCATAAGCAATACAGTCTTTCAGAACAGATGGCCAGAAGAAACCATGTCTGCGAATTAACCAGCGCATCTTGATTCCAGCCTGGTGTGCACCAAAAATCCATCATGGACATCAGACAGCATCTGGAAACTTTCATCTGGGCCCAGACAACATAGTAATAGTTCATCATGGCCTCTCCTATAAAGCACATCCTCAATCAAGGCATAATTGAGAGCTTGCATTTTGGTTTTCCTAGATACCTTAATGCTTTGATCCTTAAGGTACTGAATAATTGGAAAGTGCCAGTCCGTTTGAGTAACATCAATGCTGCAAGTGGAGACAGTCATGCCACGTTGATGAATTGATGGCAGACTGCATTTTTCAACTATTACAACTTTCTGCATTACACCTTCAGGAATTCGTAGACCTGAAGCAATCTGGGCCATTTCATTAGCTTCATAGTTCTGGTCTCTGGGAACATGTCTGATGGACACGTCATCAAATTCTTCCAGCAATTGCACAGCCAAGGCAAAATAAGGGGCTAAAGAAAGGCTAGTACATTTGTACTCACCAGACAATTGCTTCAAAACTAACTGTGAGTCCCTTATAACCTCAACCATGGATACTTTAAGCTCCACCAACATCTCAAGACCAATAATCAAAGCTTTATATTCTTCTTGATTATTTGTGCAATTAAAATCCAGCTAGAAAGACATCTGTGTTTTCAGCCCAGACGGGGAAATTACCACGACTCCAGCTCCAGACATGGTTTCTGTACTGGATCCATCAAAAATAAGTTTCCAGGGAACTAAACTTATTGAAAACAAGTTAATCCCTTTTTCTTCATCTGCCTCCACGTCTAGACATGGATGATCTGTAAGAAAGTCTGCCAGTGCCTGCCCTTTAACAGCCCTCTGTGGTATATACTTCAAATTAAACTCAGACAAGGCCAGAATCCATTTACCTATTCGGCCTCTTAACAAAGGGCGGGACAACATATATTTGACAATATCAGTCTTGGCAACCACATACACCTCAGAATAAATCAAATAATGTCTTTTTTATTGCAGCAAAAAAGAGAGCAAGACACAACTTTTCGACCGAAGAGTATTTCACTTCGGTCTGGGTCAAACATCGACTCAAGTAATACACAGCCTGCTCCTGTTTTTTATCATTTTCCTGCGCCAGCAGACATCCTATGGACTCATCTGCGGCGGATATATACAAAATTAAAGGCTTATTTTTCACAGGCGGTACAAGTACTGGTGGTCTGGATAAGTACCACTTTATCATATCGAAGGCAGACTGGTGGTGTTCTTCCCACTTAAAATCCGCCTCAGACTTGAGTTTCAACAAAGGAGAAAAGACTCTGGTTTTCCTAGCCAAGTTAGAAATGAAATGTCTTAAGAAATTAACTTGGCCAAGAAATCTTTGCAACTCCTTCTTGTTCAGTGGTGGTTTCGCCTCAATCACAGCCCTGGTTTTGTTCTTGTCAACCTCTAGACCACGCTCATGCACCAAGTACCCAAGGAAATTACTCGCAGACACTCCAAAGGCACACTTAAGTGGGTTCATTTTCAAGCCATGTTGCCTCATCCGCTCAAAAGACTTCCTCAAATAAACCAGGTGGTCTGCTTCCCCATTTGATTTCACCACAACATCATCAATATAAATTTCCATGAATTTACCAATCATATCATGAAAAATTGCATTCATGGCTCTTTGATAGGTAGCTCCAGCATTCTTCAGACCAAATGGCATCACAACCCATTCAAAAGTTCCAACAGCACCTGGGCATCGAAAGACTGTCTTAGGAACGTCTGCGTTTACAATAAAAATTTGGTTGTACCCACTATGACCATCCATGAAAGATAGAATTTTGTGACGGGCTACTCCATCAACTAACAAGTCTGTAATTGGCATAGGATACTCATCCTTTGGTGTAGCTAAATTCAAGTCTCGGAAATCAACACAGACTCTTAATTTTCAATTCTTTTTTAGCACAGGCACTACATTTGACAACCAGTCTGCATACCTGCATGTCCGAATGAATCCAGCTTTTACCAGCCACTCAATTTCTTCTTTCACCTTCAAAGTGACCTCTGCAGACATGCGTCTGGGCGGCTGTTTATATGGTCTGAATCCTTCTACAATTGGCAGTTTATGTTCCACCAATTTTCGATCCAGACCTGACATTTCTGAGTAATCCCAAGCAAAACAGTCTTTAAATTCATGCAAAAGTCTGACAATTTGATCTCGTGTCTGCGGCTCAAGAGAGCTGCTGATAAATGTTACCTTTGGTTCACTTTAAGACCCTAGATTGATCTCCTCCAGTGGGTCCTGAACTTCAGCTTTTAAATCATCCAACTTGGTTGGGGGCCGGATCCAGCTCCTCCAAAGTTATTTCATCACCTTGGTCTGCCTCATCACCTTGGTCTGCCTCCTCACCTTCATGAACAATTTCAGACCTGTCTACTTGAACTGCTTTTTCAACAAAATAGGCCGCTAATTTCTTTGTTATCTCCAACGCAGCCTTTTCTCTTTCCTGTCTCAGACGAGCTTGCTTCATTAGATTTCTTCAATTTTTAGTTTCCCCTTCGGCCTATAAGGAATTATTGTTGTTGGCCAAAGAAGTTCATCAGAGACTTCCTCCACAGCACGCTTAGACAAAGACGGTCTGTTGCATGCTGTTATCCCAATCGGTTTCCCATGTCTATCCATCCCAAAAAACCGAATGGTACCAATGTCTTCTTCATAATATCTAGCCTCCACCAGGTGGGTATTGGCTGAAAAAGGTTTATCATCTGCAGACACGACCTCAGCCTTGCCACCATTCCAGAAAATCAGTTTCTGGTGAAGTGAAGAAGGGACACACCAACTTGAATGAATCCAGTCACGCCCCAAAAGTGCATTATAAGTAGCAACAGTATCCACCACAAAAAACGCAGACATCAGTGTCCTATTTTCCACTGTGAATTCAACAGGCAGCACACCCCTTGAATGATTCACCCCTCTTGTAAAATCACTAATTGTAACCTCAGTATGCACTAAATCATCAAGAGACTTGCCTATTTTGTAGAGCATGCAAGTTAGAATGACATTGACTACAGCTCCATTATCCACCAAGACACGGCTGATTGGAGTCCCATCCATGTGAGCATTGATATAAAGTGGCCTAATGTGTCTGGCCATCTTTTCTTCTGGTTTTTTAAACACAATTTTGTCAGCCATGTCCTCCTCTTCATCATCCTGAGCTGGAACAACGATTACCTCTTCTTCTGTCTGTTTTGGGAACTCGCAGACGATTGGTTCCTCCTCCTTCTTGGCTTGGAAAACCAAGGGTAATGTTAGCACCAGACATGACAAATTCACTGAGAATTCCCCAAAATGAATAGTGCCATCTTCTTTTGATTCAGATCCACGATTCCCAGACTGTTCTGGTGCTTCAAAAGTTGCTTTCAAAACTCCGTCTGGACTCACAATGACAGACGCCACCTTTGGAGAAGCTGAAGATTGGTCATCCTCCTTCTGTAGAGTCTAGGTTACAGCCTCCTTTTTCTCTTTTCTCACCTAGACCATATTCCTTTTGGTAGGTTGGCGTGGTCTGCGAGATGAACTTCCCTCAGCCTCCACCTGCTTCTGGTGTCTTTTCCACTCTTCAGCCCTCTTGCGCTGCAGTCTGCGCCTCAAGGTTCTGGGATTCTGGGCTGGAAACTTGGGATGACTAATTTTCTCCCACCGTTTGGAAGGTAACCTGAGTGGCAGTTTGACCATCCTTGGAGATCTAGTACCAGTTGAATAACGTCTGGCACCTTCTGGACTGAAGTTCCTGGTCACAGTGATCCTTTCTTGCCCCCCAAGCCTCTGCTGGTCTGACCTGACGCTCCTGCTATGTCTGGATCTCTGCGCCTCAAGAGCCCACCTTAAGTCTTCTGCAGCAAGGTTCCTTTGAGCATAAGGCAGACTGCGATTTCTAGAAACACTCCTGAGGTCTGCAACATTCACGCCCACAGACACAGCTGGAAAAGGATCTGCATCCACTCCCATGGTTTCTTTCGCTTTTTCTGGAAATTTCAAGATATCCTTATCAATCTTTTCCAATGGCCTCAAGGTTGGCCCATGGTCTCTATTGAAGAATTGAGCTGGTTGATTTTGCAGACCACGCTGTACCGGTTGGGCTGGTGGAACTTGTGGCTGGAAAAAGTCCCTTGGACAAGGTTGATGTGAGGACCCACATTTCCCTTCCTAGCTGGCAGAATATACTTATGCTGAGGTTGACGGCCATGGTTTGCAACAGGAGTAGCAGCCTCCATCAATTGGTGTTGTCTTTGCCCTTCACCAATGACAAAATGCTACTGTTGAATATTAGGATGGGGCTGATTCCCTTGCCCCCCGAGTGCTAGGATTGGGGCTTCCCGAATCTGTCTTGGCATTTCAACGACTAGAGGAAGGATCTCAGGTCTGGGCTGTCGCACTTGCTCAACCACTTGTTCTGAAACAGCCTACAGTGGTCTGTGACTTTCTTCCCCAGTTTCTCGCATCACCCTAGTGCCTTTTTCAAAGACTCGTCTCATCTCTTCTATACATTGTCTAATTAACTCTTCTTCACGTCTGAAGGATTCTGCTTGACTCTCAACAAGTCTCCGCATAGCCTGGTTCTTTTCTTTGAATGCTAAATCCAGACGTTCCATCATACCTCTAAACATATTACTTGATTCAGCAAAGTCACCTCCACGGTCTGCTTCTTTCTGCTTAAACACTGGATTCCCATAGGACCGTTCTGCCAGAGGTGACACTGGGAGAAAAGTGATGGGATCATTTTCACCCTCAGAATGAAGTGGGCTGTTGTCTGCATGTTCAACCTGGGCTGGCTGAACCTCTTTGTCTCTGCTCTTTCTCGGTGGCATGACTCCAGACGCTTCTGGATGTATAAACAGAGGGTTTGTGAACTTTAACTGATACACCTTACTGGTCCCACCGGACATGCCAACAAAGGATTGTTTCTTCAAAAATCCTCAGCCGACCTTTACCACGTGAGTTGGATGTTAGGCATGCCACTTGCTTTGTCTAAAAACAAGAAAATGGGATTTTCCAGACGACCCTTCTCATTTTCAGCGGTCGACCTCCAATGGGATGGCTGGAAAGAACGTCTGTGAAATCAATTGCGCCCCCAGACGATGTTGCAAAACAGAGGGTAGAGCTCTGCAAAATGGGTTACTAATTGCCTTGGAAACCTCCAAGGACTTCACAACTAGACAAGTGTAATAAAAGCTACAAATCCTGTAATAAAAGCTACAAATCCTAAAATAAATGCAATATCCTAAAACAATTAAACTAATATAAAGTAATTAACAGAAAATAACATGCCATAAAGATTAAATTCGCAGACAACAGAATAAGTAAAATAACAGACAATGATTTCAACCACGCAGCCCATAATGACAACTAAAATTGAAGAAGAAACTATGAAATGATTAAAGTCTGGAAATTTATAAATTTAAATCTGGAAATGAACATGAAACAAACTGCATGTCTGGATATTATGCAGAAACAAAAGAACAAAGGTAGAAAATGTTCATCCTATTTACATGAACAAATAACATAACTAAATCCATAAAAGGAAGAAGAACTAACCGGATCAAAAGGGTAGACCTGTTTTGAAGGCTAAGTTGCTTCCAAATGCTTAAAAACTAATCCTAATTGGAATTTGTGGGAGAAATTATGATGAACAAACCTAGGCTAAGGCTATGAACAAATCTGGAAAATCTGGAAAATCTGGAAACTATTGCTGAAATCTGGAAAATGCAGTCTGAAAGCTGAAAAACATGCTCTGGGCAGTTTATGTGTGTGTTGGGCAGGCCTTGAACTGTTCTCTTCTCTTTGTTTTTGTTCCCTTCGATGCTGGTAACCTCTTCCATGATCTTCTCCATGATCTTCTCCATGATCTTCGGTACTGTTCCTCCATTTTCGGCACTGTTCCTCCATGGTCTGGTAATGGGATTGCAGGTCTGGCAATTATTTAATAGTTATCCGATTTTTATTTAACCTTATCTCCAACAGCCTTAAAAATAACTACCTAAAAATCCTCAATTTCCCATTTTAAATCAAACTCAAACTACCAGATCCAATCTTATCTTCTGCCACCTAAGATCCAACTTCCTTGGAAATCCGTCTGGGCCATTAAATTGTAAGCCAGCCCAACCCAAATCCAGCCTATTGATTTTCTTGATGATTGGGCTTTACCTTGACACGTGGCCTTATCCTATTGGTTTATTTTAGGCGTAAACAATAATAATATATATTTTTTAATTAATTAACCTTTTAAATTAATTAATTAATATTATATAATATACATATCCTTATGTATTTTTTAATAAAATTATAATATATTTTTTTATTTTAATTAATAATATATTTTACTTTAATAATC